TATTTACCAAATATTCCCCGTACCCCCTTGACAAGCTTCTCGTACCCCCTGGGGGTACGCATATCCCAGTTTGGAAACCCCTGGTCTAGACAGTATTTGGTCCTGCCATGAGGGCAGGGGACTGGACTCGATGACCTCTCGAGGTCCTTTCCAGTCCTCATATTCTATGATTCTATGATATATAAATACCCCCCAGTACCTACAGTTTTCAGACTCACAATTTTTTTTCTACCATTGCAACACATTTGTCTAAACAACTTAATTGTAGCCAGGTGAGTGATGAAATTTTTGGGTGTAAAAAGTACAAAAATAATAAAGCTGAAAACAAAAATTAAGTTTTCTCCAGATTTCAGTTGCGTTGACGTACCCCCCCAGACTTCTCTCAAGCACCCCTATGGGTACTTGAACCCCTGGTTGAGAAACGCTGCACTAGAATTCTCTGAGGGGTCAACAAGCATAAGAACAAGGAAGATCCCATGGGGACGGTGAAAGTGGTTTTTCAAAAAACCTTTGACAAAGTCCCTCACCAAAGGCTCTTATGCAAAGTGCGCTGTGATGGGATAAGAGGAAAGCGTCTCTCCCGGATCTGTAACTGGTTAAAAAAGGATTTCCCAAAGGGCGCCATGCAATAGGTCCAGGAGCTAGGTGAGAAAATATGAAGGACAGTTATATGACCCTGGTTTTTGCTTACTAATGTCTTGACTACAAAGAAAAGACGGAAGTGATATGCAAATTTTTGCGTATCTTTTTCCGCTTTTCTTTCAAAAGAGGCTTTTCGGAAATGTGGCACGTCTACACAGCACCAAATTTCAGAAAACCCTGTTCTTTCGAGCCATCCCTTCGTCCTCGTAAAACGAGGTTTATAGAGATGGCAGAAGAACGTGTCCGTTTTTCCGACATTTTTTTCAGAAAAGCGGACGCGTACCTTTTCTTGAAAGAAAAAAAAATGTATAAGAAATGCACAAGACATGAAACCAGAATTCCAAAGCTTCGTTTATTTATTTGGGTATCTATTGGATTAAAAATCACGATATTTTAAGGGCTCCACCAGGACCCCATAGGGGTTCTGTGACTGAAAAAGTTTGGGAAAGCCTGGGTTCAAAGGTGGGAAACAAAGGTAGGAAGAACGGTCTGTCTTCACAGTGAAGAGAGGTAAATAGTGAAGTGCCTGAAGGATATGTCCTGTTCCAGTCCTCATATTCTATGATTCTGTGATATATAAATACCCCCCAGTATTAGAAGACAGATGCTGGCTTCTAATTTTCCCCAGCATCAGGGATGCTCAACTTCTGGTTAGCCCCCCCAGCCCTGCCCCCATCCTGCCCCTTTTCCACCCCAGCTTTTCCTTCTCCCGCTCCACCCCTGCTCTGCCTCTTCCCCACCTCTTTCCACCCCAAACATGCCCCATCCCTGCTCTGCTCCCTCCCTCCCACTGCTAGCTTTGCTGCCAGTGGGTGCTAAGCACCCTCTAATTTTTCTCCTTGAATACCCTGGCCCTGGAGCACCCACAAAATCAGCAGCTAGGTGTCCTGAGCTCTGCGCTTTTCAACATATTCTTAAGTAATCTGGAAAAAGGGCTCAGTTGCGAGGATGCAAAGTTTGCAGGGGACATAGAGTGACTCAAGGGTACTTCACTCCAAAGCTGACTGCAAAGAGAATCTCCCAAAACGGGGTGTCAGAGCAACAAAAGGGCAGATCAAATTCAATGCTGATAAATGCAAAGAGATGCCCATTGGAAAATAGCATCCTGGCTAGACACTCAAAGCGATGGGGTCTAAATTAGCGGTTCTCACTCAAGAAAGAGATCTCGGCGTCCCTGTGGATAATTATCTGAAAACATCTGCTCTGTGTGCAGCGGCCATCAAAAAAGCTAGCAGACTGTTGGGCGTCATTAGGCAGGGGATAGTTAATAAGACAGAAAATATCACCATGCCGCTATATACATTCGTGGCTCACCTACACCTGGACTAGTGTGCTCGGCTCTGGTTGCTCCATCTCCGAAAAGCTATATTAGAATTGAAAATGGCACTGAGAAGGGCACCGCAAATGATGTGGGGAATGGAACAGCTGCCAGATGAGGCAAGATTAAAAAGACAGGGGCAGTTCAGGTTGGAAAAAAGAGGGCCGAGGGGAGTAGTAGAGAGGACTATAAAATCATGGCTGGTGTGAAGACAGGGAGTAGGGAAGTGTTCTTTACTCCTTCCCGTAATGCAAGAACTTGGGGTCACCTAATGGAAGTAATAGGCAGCAGGTTTGAAACAAACAAAAAGGAAGGATTTCTTCACACAATGCACCATCAACCTGTGGAACTCCCTGCCAGGGGATGCTATGAAGGCCAGAACCATAACGAAGTTAAAAAACTAATAAGATAAGTTCATAGAGGACAGGTTCCCTCCAGGGCTACTAGCCAGAATGATCAGGGACGCAGCCCCAATCTCTGAGTGTCGCTCCAAACTTGGTCTGGGTGACAGTCAGGGAATGATGTGTCTCTCGGAATTGCCCTGTTCTGTGCATTTCCTCTGGGGCACCTGGCTTTGGCCACTGTCAGAGACCAGCTACAGGACCCAGGGTGGCCCAGGGTGGCTGGATCCTGGGAGACCTTGGTCTGGCCCAGGGTGGGTGGTTTTATTTTCACCTTTAACTTTAGTATCAAAATATCCTCCCTGGGGTTTAGGATCCCCCTGGAGACCCAGAAATGACACATCCATCTCTGGGTGCATGGGGAGCGTGGATAGCTGGAGGCAGTGTGATCTAGCGGGTAGAACAGTGGAGTGAGACTCAAGACCTGGGTTCTGCTCCTATCGATGTAGAGCAAGTCACTTCCCCAATCCCCACCCGTTTGTGACTCAGTTTCCCCTCTGTCTGTCTTGTCTATGTAGCGTGTGAGCTGTTTGGGGCAGGGGCTCTCTCTTGCTATGAGTCCATGCAGCACTCAGCACAAAGGGGCCTCGGTCTTGATAGACTGGAAGTGGCAAAAAGCTTTAAATCGGTTACAGCCCCATGATGACCTACAAGTCCCCATTCATGCTGTCTGCAGTTTTCCCCCCATCTCCCCATTGGCACATCCACTCAGTGGGCAGTGGCAGTCAAAAAAGCAAACAGAATGTCGGAAATCGTTTAAAAAGGGATAGAGAATATTTTATTGCCTCTATATAAATCCATGGTGCACCCACATCTTGAATACTGCATACAGATGTGGTCGCCCCATCTCAAAAAAGATCTCTTGGCATTGGAAAAAGTTCAGAATAGGGCAGCAGAAATTATTAGGGATTTAGAACAGCTGCCATATGGAGAGAAATTAAAAAGACTGGGACTTTTCAGCTTAGAAAAGAGGAGAGATGAAGGGGAGGTAAGGTAGAGGTCTATAAAAACATGGTGTGGAGAAAGTGAATAAGGAAGAGTGATTTACTTGTTCCCATAACATAAGAACTAGGGGTCACGAAATGAAATCAATAGGTAGTGGGTTTAAAACAAACAAAAGGAAGTTTTTCTTCATGCAGTGCACAGTCAACCTGTGGAACTCCTTGCCGGAGGATGTTGTGAAAAGCAGGACTTCAACAGCGTTCAACAAGAACTAGGTACATTCGTGGAAAGATGCGTCCATCAAGGGCTATTAGCCAGGATAGGCAGGGATGGTGTCGATGGCCTGTTTGTCAGAAGCTGGGAATGGGCGATGGGGTAGAATCACTTGAGGATTCCCTGTTCTGTTCCCTCCCTCTGGGGCACTTGGCATTGGCTGCTGTCGGCAGCCAGGACACTGGCTGGATGGACCTTTGATCTGACCCACTTTGGCCATTCTTATGGTCGTTTCATCAATGCCCATTAGTGGGTGCAACATCAGACCTCTTCACCGTTGCGGCTAGTGCCTAGTTTGCAAAGAGGCGAAAAGCCCTGCAGATCAATACATCCCAGCAACGCTCCGAAACCCAAGCTCTCAAGGCCTGTGTTTTGGGGCCCCCTGCACTAGCACTCTTCCGGGCTGCCCAAAACCCTTTCAACAGGGTTTATAAAGCTCTCCCAGGATCCGGTTTTCCCCGGCCAAGCTACAGCTCACACTCGTGGCTGTGCAACAAGGTTTCACACTGACATGGGCAGATCACGCTCAAGCCGAAGCTGCCACAGCTCGGGACGCTGCGGTGCTAATGCAATTTGGTTTTTAATTTGAAGGAACTGTCCTAGAAGTAACACGTCCTGGACTTTGGGCAGGTTCTAATGATTTATGGCCTTTAATTTCCCCCAACACTTACTCCTGGTCCCATTTCCCCCTTTGGCATGGCACATGTTTATCTGCCTTTCTTGGGGTTTTTTTTTATTTTTTTAATTTGAAACATCCATCTGGTGATTCCGGTGACCGGAGAGTTTGCAATACAGAATGCATTAAAGCCCTGACAGTTCCATTGATTTCCTCTCTCCTGCTGCATAGCATAAGATATACACAAGGCAGATAGACCAGTCCCCTGCCCCTCAGTCAAAAGGGTCTGTCCCTTTCTCTAGAGCTAATGTTCCTTCTCCCAGGCACATTTTGATAGATTGGAAAACTCGCTGTCTCTTCTGGGGAAGATGAATTCTCCTTCACTCCAGTACAATCTTCCTAGATCTGTAGAAATGGCCATTTAATGTATCTTCCCTCCCTGCGGTAGATATTTTACTGAGATTTGTAGGGAAGAACCCACAGGGGGAAAAGCCCAGATACTCTAGAAAAAGATAGAAGTTCTGATCCAGATATAAACTTCTCGCCGCTGACCAGGTGGGATGGATTGACTACGGAGAGAGATTGGCTCCAGGGTGTCATGGGGCTGGAGCAAAGTTCGCCTCTGGATGCTGATTCGGGGTCAAACTTCCTCAAAGCCGTTCTGTGAGGGAGTGAGAGGAGGGCCTGGCAGTGCAGGGGTTAAACAAAGCCTTTTTGCCCAACTAGCCCCGCCCTATTTTACCTGCAGCCAATGCCAGGCTTGGAGGGAGGATAAAAGGAAGGAGCCTGGTTTAGTTTGGGGCTGACCAGAGAAGAGACAGGAGCTTGTTCTGCTGGCTACTGGGTCAGCCACAGGTGCATGTAAGTCTCCAACTTCTCCCCCTGGTGCAAAGTGGGAGACCCTACAAGGATCCCTCGCTGGGGAGAGGAAATTGGATTCTTGGGGCCATGCCCCAAACTTAAGAACCAGACTCAGATAAGAAGCTGGAATTCCTAGGCCTGGGGCCCCACTGGCAGGGGCCAACACCCCCTTTGCCACCAGCTAACTCTGGGACCTAACTACTAGGCCACCCTGCTACCTGGGAGACTGGGCCACAGGTTTCTTGCTGGTGTCTTGGTTCCAGGCTGGCACTGTGCCACTAGGGTCCCAATGCTCTGCATCCTTCCGCCTAACCCACTAGAACTTAAGAACCAGACTCAGATAAGAAGCTGGAATTCCTAGGCCTGGGGCCCCACTGGCAGGGGCCAACACCCCCTTTGCCACCAGCTAACTCTGGGACCTAACTACTAGGCCACCCTGCTACCTGGGAGACTGGGCCACAGGTTTCTTGCTGGTGTCTTGGTTCCAGGCTGGCACTGTGCCACTAGGGTCCGAATGCTCCGCATCCTTCCGCCTAACCCACTAGCCTGGCCTCTGTGTAGTTGGGGTTTTTTAAATGGGGCTGTGCGTGTTTCATAGTAAACAAAAGCTTAGTTCTCTCTCTCTCCCCTAGGACTGGCAGCAAAGTGTGAGCTGCCAAGCCAGAGCTTTCAGATGTCTCCCTTGGCTTGCTCCAGGCTGGTGGCAGTCTGAGAGGTGAGCTGCCGTAGCACACTCCCCTGCATTTTAGTCCCCATGCTGGCACTGGCCTGCCCTGTGGGCTCTGGGCAGTGGGTTCTTCACCTGACATCGGGGATAGGCGGGATTTGCCTGCTTTTGGGAAGTGCCCTGAGATCCGAGGGTGGAAACGGATGCTGAAGCCAAGTACCGGCAAAGTCCCCCTCCCGTTCCCACAGTGGTGAGGGGGAGGCGGGTGGATGTATGGAGGGGGTGCGTTGCTGGCACTGGCCTGCCCTGTGGGCTCTGGGCAGTGGGTTCTTCACCTGACATCGGGGATAGGCGGGATTTGCCTGCTTTTGGGAAGTGCCCTGAGATCCGAGGGTGGAAACGGATGCTGAAGCCAAGTACCGGCAAAGTCCCCCTCCCGTTCCCACAGTGGTGAGGGGGAGGCGGGTGGATGTATGGAGGGGGTGCGTTACAGCGTCACCCTGGCAGTCAAAGAAACACAAGTACAGCTGGGAGGGAGAGGACCTGGGGGTGAAATCTCTGAACCCTGCAGTTCCTCTGTCTTCCTGCCTCCTTGGCTGGTGGGTGCTGACTCCCCCCTTGCAGAGAGGGCAGCCTCCGCACTGCATCCCAGAGAGAGTGCAGAACCAGCTTTTCAATCATGCAAACTCACAGGCCTGGGTCCCATGGCACGTACTCCCCCCCCTTGTCCTTCACTGCTCAGAGCCAGCTGGACGCCTGTCTCCCCCACATCCCGGAACTGGGCTCCTTGCGTGTCGACACCCCAGGGAGCAGAATGGGGCAAGGTGAGAGACAGTCACACTGTGACCCAGGAGCAATTCCTGTTGGGTTCCCGCTGTGGGAGGCTGTCACTTTCACAGCCAGCCACATACCTGCTGGGTGTAGCAAACAGCCCCTGGGGTATCTTATCCCCCTCTTCAACCAAACACCCAGCAAAACACTACAGCCCCTAATAACTCAAGCCAGTTTCCCTCGGAGGCCTGGTACACCCCGGTCAGCAGCTGCTCTTTGCATGGCAGCAGAGAAGTCTTTACACGGACTTCGTGCACAGGCGCTAACATGGGGTGAACACTCCCTCTTGTGGATAAACTCCCCATTACATCCCTTGCCCTGGCATGTGGCTCTTTCAAGGGGACTTGGGGGGACACAGTGGGAGGAGAGGACTGGGCATGTTCCCACCCTGATGGATAAAGGAGGCCTGAAATATTTCTCTGTTTTGAAAACTCTGCTGGCACTCTGCGGCCATACGGACACAACGGCACCCCCAACGTAAAAATCACAAACCTACTGTGGCATTTGCCACCCACCCGGCCCTCTAATCTGCCCTGCAGCAGCACCTAGGAGTGGCGCTCGCGGCCCTGTTGTGCACAGCGCTGTACAAACACAGATAGGCTCCTCCTTTGTGTTCTAAAACTTCCCCTCCCCTTTGCTCTAGTCAGATGGTAAGCTGTTTGGGGCAGGGACTTTCTCTGATTCTGTCTGGCCAGTGCCTGGCACAATGGCACCCCATTCTCAGGTGACCCCCAGGCAGCACCATAATAAACCTGATCCATATTGACAGCCCTAATCACACCCCCCTTTATTCTTCAGGGGCAGCTTCCCTCGGCTGTCTGCAGGTGAGTGAATTGAGCCTTGCAGCCCCCTAGGAAGTAGGTACCCTCCCTGGCTCTCAGATAGGGGGAAACAGGACAAAATGAGGGGATCTGGCTTGTCTGAAATCACAGCAAAGCTGGAGTTAAGCTGAGAACAGAGCCAGACTCCTCCTGGAGTTGGCTTAAGCACCGAAAAGCATCCTCTCTCCTCTTGCGCTGGAGAAACTCGGCTGAACAGCAGGGACAGTTGCCCCAAGGTCTGACGATACTAAGGGGCATAGAGCTCCAGAAACCCAAGCCCTTTAGAGTCACCAGGAGCCCGAAGCTGGCTCCCCACATTATCTAGGAGCCTGTCAGCTCCCTTGGCTGGAAGGGACCTCAAGAAGTCCTCAGATTCAGTCCTCTGAGCGGTGGCAGGACCGAGAACACCGAGACCATCCCTGGCAGGAGTTAGTACAATATTTAAATACTTGGAACCAGGGGAACGCCTAGACCCCGCCCCACTTTAGAAACCTAGTCCAGATGATTTTACCCCCTAAATGTTAACCCTAAATCTCCCCTGCCTGTTACTGCTTGCTCTACCTTCCACGATAAGGAGAACGGATTGATCCCTGGCCTCTTTATAACAGCCCGTAACATATCGGAGGACCCGAATCCCACCGTAAAGCAAACAGAGGTCGTGACCTCACCTAGGACACTGCAATGTGCATCATTGTAATTAACAAACCTAAACTCATGTCTCCCATGACCGGGGGCTGGGAGCTCTGCAGCATTTGCAGAGAGAGGGGCTAAGAGGCAATGGAAATAGATCAGGAAACATTCTTCCTGCAAACTCTGAGTTGTGAATTAATTGTTTATTAATGAATTGATCAATTCTCTGTTTTAATTCAGATCTCCATACAGTTAGTATCAATGTAATACACACTGGTAGCTAGCTGTCCCCAGCTGTTCATGTCAATGAGCACAACAGCAGGCAACACCCCCTCCCAAACACACTGTAACCCCAGTCTAAACGCAGCTTCCCAGGGAAACCAGCGCTCCTCCCCTCCTGACGCAGCTGCCTAGTTCTGAGCGCCCTCCGGCGCCTTTTGTCTGCTCTCGGCACCCGTAGCCGCCTGGGCCTGGTTTAAGTTCCCGGATGCGGAAGTGCTTGTCCCTTTTTACCAGCACGTCGGTGGCTGTCTGAGTGAGTGGCGGGGAGGACGCGCAGCTGGATCCGCC